GATTTTTTTGTGTGTTTTAGTTAACTTGCGGACAATTTTCTTTGCAAGTCAGAAATGAATTCCAAGTCCATTCCCCATTACACTATATACTAATAATATACTTATATATAGACAAGGGTAACAATTCCCATAAGAAGGTGTCCATGCTAAATCATGATTTTTGCCTCGCATTTTTTTTATACGATACAGCATAAATAAAAAGGAATTATGCAATATGTAGTTGAATAATTTATCGAACCAATGTAAAACTTTTCTTATCTCTCTTATACTTAATGTGTACTGGCTGGGGCAGCACGAAATACCCAAATACACCCAAATATACCCAAATATTGCCCAAATATACCCAAATATTGCCTAAATATACCCAAATATTGCCCAATTATACTAAAAATAAATGTTTTAATTAAAAAAGTGCTGTTTTTATGATGAATATAATATACACTTTCAATAAGATATAATCAACCATACCCAAATATACATTTCCCTATCATTGTGTTTTGAACCAAAATACAGTCTATATATGATATGAAATTCCAACAAAATTACACCTTAAAAATGTAAGTGTAGACAACAAACATCATATCTTGATTTAAAATTGCAAGTACATTCATAAAGAACATATATGGTACTGTAGATAGGCAAATGTCACAACTTTCTTCTTTACATTACCATCGTAACTGTCCATTTTCATCGGAATGAATGAAAATTATAGCAGGCTAAGTGATATTATATTTAATAAATATTTATTTATTTCTCATTATAATCTATATTTTATACAAACAAAAATAAATATGCTATATTTGGGTGTATTTGGGTATATTTGGGTATTTCGTGCCGCCGACTGGCTGCAAAGTAACAAAAAAGTATTAATTTGCACGAGGTCGACATCGATCGTGGCTACTGTTGCAATCGTTAGAGATAATATCACAAGCATTTATCATGCTGGGCAGCTAAAAATGCATAAAAGACTTAAGTAATCAAAATATTCCAATAGCCTATAATGACAATGAGATATAAAGTCACCTGCGGCTTCAGAATATTTCCCCGTTGAAATTTCGAGAGAAAAAAACGCCATCTTGACGAATATAAACAATCGTCATATGAGTGGTCTTTTATATTTTTACGGGAAATAAATCGACAAAACACATTCAACTGAAATTTGACATTTGAATATATCATGGGAAAGTGCAGGTCAAGTTCGAATTTGGTCATGGTCCGATGATTTTTGACAGAGTTAGGTCCCTTGATGAATATTCAGTTTCCGTTCATTATCTCCCTAACAGTTGAACACATTCGACTTAAATTTGACATATGGATACATCAAACAAATTTGAATTTGGTCATGGTTTGATGATTTTTTACAGAGAGATGCCCCTTTATTCTTTCATGCAAATAAAAGTCACACATCGCAAAATATTTTGCGAAAGTAACATTCTAATAAAATGAATGGAAAGACACAAGCAATAAATTAATCATTGCGACAAGAATGGGCAGGTTGTAACTTGTACGGTCACATGATTGAGTACCTGATTTGGAATTACACACTTTTTTCTAGTACTGTTCCTAATTACGAACAAAATTCTTCTGTAATTGAGCTACATGAACATTCCATTTTGTTAATTTTTGGAATGCTTATTAAGTCTTATTTAAATTTTCAGCATTGTTGATCTTGGATGCATCAATAGCCATATTGAAACTATATATGTTAGTACAGTACACTTATCTGCATCGGCATTAAACTAAAACAAATTTTTATTTTAGTTCAAAATCAGGCTAATAAAATTATAAATGTATCAGAAATCATAAATGATAAAAGAAACTGCTTACTGTCAAAAATTTCATCAACAGCTATTTGGTTTGCATACTGTATTAGTAATATCTGTCATATGTTGCGGTTCCGATCTGAATATCCTTCCAGAGTGGACACACAAGCCTCGTTACAACCTTGAGCGGGTTCCAGAGGGACGGATATTCAGTCCGAACCGTAAACACATATCACATATTTTTTCTTGCATATTCTACCATATTCCATTATATTTTAAAGTCTTTACCGTAATAAAACAACTTTCCATGGAAGCATATGTCACTACATCCATAGCTATTTTCTTACAATTGCTTATGAAATTACAGCTGTAATCCTAATCCTAAGCCTGCCATTGTACAGCATGCGACTTATCTGGCACCACCCATGCCAGATGAAATTTCCGGCGTAGGTAAAACTAACAGAAACGCAAGTCTGATATGCAAGAAAGATATTTTCTGAATTATGTATTCATTCTTAGATGTGAGCAAAGTTGAACTTAGTTTACTAAGAGGCTAGAGCTCCGCTCATAATTAATTACATTTAATATGAAATTAGGTGCTACCTATGGCGCGGAAAGTCATGTAGATCTTCATGTAAATTATGCAGTATCATAAAAATTATCTATCTGAATTATATTGATAATGTTCAACACTACCTCCGGGTATTGCTTCTGTATGGGAACTGCTCGCATGCCAGTATACAAAAAAAATAAAAACATAAAAAAAACATAATGCTTTTATTGGGGTAGATCTGATCAAATTATGTGATTTTATAATACATCAAGTGTTTTTGAAAGAAATCAATTGACAAAATATCTTAAATAATTGATTAAATAATAATAGATCTATCAGTGTTTCAGTTTATTTTTTTTAAATATTACCTTTTCCATTGTCTTATTCATTGCTAAAGTCCATCTTCACAGCATAATTTCTTGGCATATTTTGGCATATACAGTACTTAAAATACTCATATAATGATAATAATAAATAATGCATAAGATCTGGTAGAGTCTATATAATTTTTATGATTTTTTTTTCAGAAAAATCAATTGAAATCAGGTGAAAAAATGCTTGGAATTTCACTTAGACATATTTAGAACTGGTAGTTGTATACAGCATAGTCCAGTAGGACTAGCTCAAGTTATTGCATAAACTTGCATAAGTAACTTAATTAAAAATGTTAAAATATATTTAATGTACAAAAGGAAACATGTAAAATTTGTGGTAGTCCAAATATGCAAAAGAAAATATAATTCTAGGACTTTAATTTAAATAGGAAAATGTAATTCTGCCAAAATAGTACCGTTCAGCCTGTTGAGACGGCAACGATAAAAAAGCAGACGACTGGGCCGTTTAATGATAAAAAATCAGTGTAGTTTACACGCTTTTCGGAATGAAAATCAAAAAGCGCCCGCTATTCATAACATTTAAACCAGTCTAAATATTCAGCCATTGGGGCGCTTGTTAAGCGTTTTACAAGAGGCGCTTGTCAAGCGTTTTACAACATAGATTTCAAAATGGCGGCGCCCGCTAACTAAGGATTTTTTCGCAGCTCATTAGGTTTGGGATATATATTTTTTGGAATTTTTCATTGACTTTTAATTTGATTTCTTTTGAATTGATACGCGTCATACATGTTATCTAAGAGCGCTGCAGCCCTCGCGGGGCCTTTGGCCCCGCTCGGACTTTCCGCGTAATAATGAGATATGCCTTTCAACTTAGATTATCTTTTAACATCATTCCATCAGCAGTACTGGTCTTTTAGAATAACTTAGTCTGGAAAATTGAAGAGAATAATGAATGGATTTTGGTCTAGATATGATTAAAAAAAATTTAGAAACGCAGAAAAAATGATTTTTTTTTCTTCTCTCAATATTTCAGAAATATAATGACAGGGAAAGGTTCAGGGAAGACAGTGGTGATCATGATAGATACAAGAACAAGAGAAAAAGGCATGACAGTGACCAGGGTGAAGAGTCAGAGAAATTTAGAAAACTATTTATTGGTGGGTTAAGTTACGATACCACTGATGACGAGTTGAAAGAATATTTTGAAAAATGGGGAGAAGTTGTTGATTGTATTGTGATGAAGGAAACTGGAACACAAAGGTATTGTTTACTGCTGTATGATATTATAATCTGTAGATTTTATGAGATAAAAGATAATTATGTACTGATATCTTAAAAAATGTTAACTTATAATTGACCAATCAATTTCGTTATATAACATTAGCCATCATATTTAATTGGAAATGGTCAAAACATTACATGACAAAACCCACCCTCTAAGTTTTACAAAAGGGGACTTTAACCCAATTATTTGAAATACATGAAAGGGAGAAGTTTGTTCATGAAAAAAATTGATTTCTAATTAAATGTGAACTTGTCAAAAGAAGTTAACAGAAAATGTCAGATTATTTTACATGATACTGTAGTTCAATTTTTTGTGAATATTCAATACTTATTACTATAATTATAGTTTATAGTGAATTTGATAATTGTAATTTTGTTAATTTGAAGGTCTCGTGGCTTTGGATTTGTGACATACAGTGAGGCTAAAATGTTAGAAGACTGCCAGGCATGCAGACCCCATGTGATCAGTGGGCGTCAAGTAGATACTAAAAGAGCAATGCCTCGTAATGTGAGTTTTGACTTTTGTATTAAAATTGTTTATATATTTATTAATAAAATGTCTGTTCAGCACCTATACTACATGTATTAAAAATTGTTTAAGATATTAGAAGTAAATATTTGATGTAACATGCAATATTTTTTTATGTCGACAGTGTGTTTTCTATATTAAAAGTCTTTTTTTTCCCACAAGGTTTCACATTGTGGCACAATGGCAACATCTTTTTAAAAAAAAATAGACCTCAGAATGTTTACACTACTTTTTTTAGTACCACAAATGTACTTAATTGACATAATTTTATTACTGTGACCATTATTTTGGCTCGGGACTGTCAAATGTTCAGTTAGACAATAATAAATAGCCCTGTTAGCTAAGGTTTTTGAATATTACATGATTAAAGGTAAATTCAAACAGTGACTTAAAGTTATTTGCAAAAAGAATACAAAAATAACATAAGTTTGTGAAATTCTGACCATCATGCTATTCTGAGTACCACAACTGTGATTGTATATGTTCTGATTCTGAATTACTGACAAACTTTTTCATATTTTATCAGGCAGGAGGTGGCTCAAACACTGACAGTTTGAAGGAGTCAGTTTACAAGTTATTTGTGGGTGGTATAAGAGATGTAACAACAAGTGACACTTTACGGGAAGAGTTTTCACAGTTTGGTACAGTGAAACATGTGGAACTTATGATGGACAAATTGACTGGCCGTCATCGAGGATTCGCATTTGTCACATATGAAGATTTTGATTCTGTTGACAAAGCTGTTAGTAAGTAAAATAGGGCGACACTGATTCCCTAACCCCCACAATACATTTCATGATGGGGATTGTAAAAATTATTATAAATATTTGATAAATGGTTTGAGTTTTATGCAAGTGTGTAGAAAAATGGATGGCAATTAGTTGTGCTTACTTTCTCTAGAAAGAACAGATGTTCCAAAAGATATTGTTCTGTATGTCAGCATTAACGTTTTACAGTAGTTCTACTTCTAATTGATATTTTATAAAATCTGAAGTTTGATGTGTAAGATTCAAAATGATGGTACCGATATGTTTAAAACTTTTGAATATAAGCAGCAAAAGTGACTTTGCTCAATGTTCACTACCTATTTGCAGCTAATGCTAACATGGCAGAGCCAGGCCAGTTTGTGCAGTCTGACCAGGCTTTAAACTGTTGCTACCTTAATATTACCTTCTGGTATCAAAGCAGAGGATTAATTTAGCTTTGTGAAGAATACATTTAATCTTAATTAAGATATGTTTTCTATAGTACCATGTTTATTTTATTCTTGTTACAGTAAAGAAACATTTAGAGATTGATGGGAAGATGGTAGAAGTCAAGAAAGCCGAGTCCATCTCTAGCAGGAAAAGTAAGTACTCATTTTATTTATAGTTTTATTTGAACTTTTATAGTCTCACTGCATTGTTTTTTTCCACATCATATAGAGAAAGCCTTCCAAAGACATTGCTCAAATTTAATATTGCATAATGTCATTAAAAATGAAAAATGTGAGTGCTTTTATAAATACTCTCAGAAATGCAATAAAAATGTTAATAACATAAACAAAGTAGAAGTGTAATAAAGCCATTTAATACAAATGATATCACCCTAATGTAATAACACTGAGAAGTGACATCATTTGTGTAGTGCCTAACTAACACAGTAAGGGCTTTTTTGGCAAACATTGTATTATGACCTCTTTGGAATGTGTAAACAACTTTCTTTGTTCACTTCATAATATTTTATTTTTAACATACATTTTCAAATTTTTCATGAAAATTGGCATGTATCTGGAGGCATGGTGCTGTAATATACAGTTTTACAACCAAATGTTGCAGGCTAAAATGTTAAACAGGGCTCACGCTGTCGGTCGCCATAGTCGCCATTTGCGATTATTTTATAAGATTGGCGATTATTTTTGCATTTTGGCTACAAAATCTGGCGATTATATTTTACTTCCAACAGTGTTTATATAAGGTGTAAAAATCGATAATGAATGCAATAGACCCAATTAACACCAAGCGGGGTGGCATTTAATTGAGTGTCAACTTTTTACCGACTATATTGCCCGAGGTGATTAAATACATGCGAGATATGTATATTTGTATAAGTACTTTAAAGATATTGTCCAGCATTTATAATAGCCATCAAATATCGCGTCAATTAGCCACAAAAAGCGTTTTAAAATTGATAAACTGGATATTGACTTACCCAAAATTTACCGTGAATTGCAGTAATTGCAATTTTGATTTTTTTTTTGTTTTAAGCTACTTGACTAAATCGCCAGTGGAAAACAATGGTAAAAATATTTAAAAAGTATTTAACTTCCAAACAACTATTTGCACAGCAACCAAAATTGTGAATATTTCTTCAGAAAACAGGAAAAATCCGATTGTAACATATTTTCGCGACACCGATAATTTTGATATTTATTTAAAGGTGAAATAAGCTATGTTCTGTTTTAAAATCTTTACTACTATGGCAGAAAATTTGTATTACATTGGTGATGATGATATTTTTTAGTAAATTATTCAGAAAAAAGGCTGCATTCTGTGAATGAGTTTGCAAACTTGTGTTATTTCTATAGGCTAATATGACTTAGATCTACTCCAGTTCTATGTGAAATGTGGAAAATTGACAGTGGTTATAGCTGACAAAATTTGATTAGAACAAACAAAAAAAGTTGTCTGATAACAGCATTATGTAATGTTATAATGAATCTTTAATATTATTGTTATACAGTAATTATACTAATTATAACGTTTTTATTCTGTTCTATAATAACAATTAAAGTTATGGTTCTATTTAAAAAAAAAGGTAGTTATCAATATACACAAATGTATCAGTTTTTTTTGAGAATCCTTATAAAACTAAAAGATATAAATGAATGTTTATTTAATCAACTGCTTATGTTGTTTAATCGCTAATTCTGTGAATATGTCCGCTGAACTTATGGCTATTATTTTTTTAAGTTGAAATTATTGGCTATTATTTTATTTGAAGCCAGTGTGAGGCCCTGGTTAATATACAATGTATTCAATGCTTGCTCAATTCCTCATATGCTTACAATTGTTGTGTTTTTTTTTCAGGTAAAAGGGATCATATGGATATGAGAATGATAAAGGTATGCATTGCTTGTTTTATTAGAGCTCCCTGAGGCCCCAAAGGGGCATTAAAAATATAAAATTATTTTATTAGATCGGACTTGGCATTATTAGATCACTTGAACACTTTAAATGCAAAAAAATATAAGATAATAAAGAACGATTTATTATTGAAAAATTTAAATTGAGCATTATGCAACCTTTTTATTTGAATTTAAAAAGCTTTTTTAAGTGCTTTTCATTTTTGGGGTATTTTTGCACAATTAAAATTATTATTTATGAAAACCGATTTGCCGCGAATGTTTTTTCATACATGTTATTATCCAGTACATAAAAAGGTGTTTTAAAATTTCGCAAATAAAATTCCCCTTTGTTTTGTCCAAATCATTTGGAGTCCTCTTTAATGAATGGTTTCTTTATAGAAAAATGATATATTCATTTAACAACCCTTACCCTCCCCTTTTTAATACAGGTTTGCCCGAAATTTCTTATGCATTTTAGTAGTTACTGTGCTAAAAAATTCTTATGAGTTGCTGCAAAACAAGCAAACAAAAAATCATTAGCCCACATCTATTTGACTGAAATTAGATAAACTGGTTTAACAAGTGCTTAGTTTAAACAAAGTCACTATATTGAGTATGTTAGCAATTTATAAACTATAAAAACTCAAGTGCCGTATGGATTCTATGTTTTGTTACAATTTGAACTGTCTTATGTTATAGGAATAATTATTATTTGTTTGTATTTTTGAATTTTGTTGGAACAAAAAAAGTGGTTTGAATGCTCAAGACTTCTTAATATATTATCTCGGTATTTCAAGGAGTATTGCATTCATCAGAAATTTGTATTCTTTTGTAGGAAATATGGGAAAAGGTGGCATGGGAATGAACAGTAATATGGGAAATATGGGTGGTGGAATGGGAATGAATAGTAATATGGGAATGGGGAATATGGGCATGGGTGGAAATATGGGAATGGGTGGCAACATGGGAATGGGTGGCAACATGGGAATGGGAGGTAATATGGGAAATATGGGTATGGGTGGTAACATGGGAAATATGGGAGGAAATATGGGCAACATGGGAAATATGGGAATGGGAGGCAATATGGGAAATATGGGGATGGGTGGCAACATGAGTAATATGGGTATGGGTGGTAATATGGGAAATATGGGGATGGGAGGCAACATGGGAAATATGGGTATGGGAAACATGGGAATGGGTATGGGAAATATGGGAATGGGGATGGGAAACATGGGCATGGGGATGGGGAATATGGGCAACATGGGAATGGGCAACATGGGAATGGGCAACATGCAAGGTGTTGGAAATAACCCACAGCCTTCAAACACTGGTTACAGATGCTAGTAACAAAGATAAATCTGAGATCATACAAAAATTTCAGTCATCTACAGGTCAGCGTTGGTAACCAGCAAGGTCAAACTGGCGCCCAAGGTCAAATGGGTCAAGGTCAGATGGGGAATATGGGTGGAATGATGGGAAATCCTATGGGTATGATGGGAATGATGAATCCAATGATGGCAAATCAGATGGCTATGATGGGTATGGGTAACTATGGTTACGGGAACATGATGGGAATGGGAGGAAACAATCAGATGCAAGGTCAGATGGGTAATCAGATGCAAGGTCAAATGCAGCAAGGTCAGATGGGAGGTCAAGGTCAAGGAAGTGGCCAAATGGGCCAGATGAAAGGCCCAAGGGGAGGTAAAGGAAACTGGTAATGGGGACGATGAAAGGGTCAAATACACAAGGTAAAACCCAAAAAATAGATGAAGGGACAGTTGGTGTATAAAGGGGAACTATGGTGGACAAAAAGGGAGCCTGGGCAGATGGGAAGTCGGACGGTGTATGGGCATTGGCTTACAAGGATTTCATACAGTTTCCAGAGTGGTAGGAACTTTTATACGTTAACAACTATTGGTAGTTTTACGGCAAAAAAATGAGTATCCGTTAGGAAATTTTGATTGTTTGGCATGTTGGGAAATTTTTTATAAGTGTTTATTATTCAACAAATAAATTTGAACAGATGCTAAGTCCCTATTTGTTGTTAGTTTGAAAATAAATTATTAATCTTTTAATTCAGAATCTAAGATTTGTTTCATGACATATCTTTTTTACCAATTTCTTTTTGTCTTTACTAACTAACAGGTTTTCTAAAGCACTGTCATTTATTAAATGATGTAATGAACTAGATTGAGACATAGTTTTTATGACCCCTTGCATAAGTTAAAATTGACATTCCTGTGGTGGTTTACTTTACTAGTGGCCAAAAAGCGAAGGATGGTTTTACATTATTTATATGGCGCAATGGGTATCATTTTTGCATTTGTAACAAGAAAATGAAAAAGGAAAACGGTTTTTTTAAGGATGTAAAAATAGATTTATGGGACTTAATGAATCTTAAGAAAAAAAATATTTATAAAGAAAATTGAAATAGGGACACAGAAATTGTAAAAATTAGTTTATTTAGGAAAAAAAAGAAAACAAAATTTGTTGTTGTGGGTTTCATTGATAAGCAGATTTCATTTAATTGCATTTTTGTTGACCAGATAAGGATGGTCTGATATGGGGGATTATTCATCAGCTGGTGGCAATAAAAGGAGACAAAAGGTCAGCGTATGTGAAAAATGTTTAGTTTAATGGCTTAAGTTACTATATTCTCTTATCTGTTATCTGACTATATATGGGTTAAAATGGACTTGTTTTTCATTTTTCAATCTGGACAAAAAAATTCATGTTTTTAAAGGAAAAATTTACAAAATTGTACTGACAGGAAACAGTACAGACCTTGACGCAACGCCAGCTCAGATTAAGTAATTTTCTTTTGAAAATTTAGGTAATTTAAATAGGGGGGGGCTGGGGAAAAAATTCCCTTTATTAGATAACCCAGTTTTACATTATTCATTTTCAGATGCCAGTTTTGTTATATTTTTTTTTTTTATGAAAATAAAAATCATTGGGGAATTTAAGATAATGTAAAACACAACCCCAAAAAAAACGGCCCAGATTTTGGGAGATGCCTTACTGTGGCTCAAAAAACAGAAAAGCACATTGGGCAGTAACAAAGTCCTTTTGTGTAATGATTCTGTACCCGGGAATATGTTTGTATGAACAAGTAGTAATAATTAGTATAATGATACCAGCAAATGTAATAATTAATTATTTTCATATTTAAAGGGGGCAAAGGGGAACCCTTTTAAAATAAGTAAATTTTTCAGTGGGTATCTTTTAAAATAAAAAAATGAAAATAAATTTTAACTGGGATTTCTTAACTCAAAAATATAGGCATTTATTTAAAAACCCCCTAAAATTGGAAATGTTTCCCCTTTTTAAATTTGGGTGGTTTTGGGAAATGGTATTTTTGGGTAGGAAAATGATAATTTTTGACAAAATATGTTTTTGAAAATATATTGAAAAATTGGTAGATTTGGGTTTGGTTTTTTGTATATTAAAAAAGGGTTGTTTATATTTAAAAAACAATTTTTTGCTTCACTTTGGGGTTTTTTTTTTGAAAACAGTTGATTAGATTGGTTATGTTCTTTTTGCCCTTTCAAACAAGTTTGATAAACCCAAAATTTGGGTTAAAGGGCTAAATTTAAGCCTGTAGTTGATTCACCTTTTGAAGCAGTTTTTAATTTATTTAAAAATTTATGAATAAGAGTACAGGGAAATATAGGAAAAACTGATTTTTTGTATCATTTCCCTATTAAAAACTAAAAAAGACCAAATTTTTTTTAGGGGTTTTTTCCAAAAACTGTAAGTATGTTATTTGAAGGGATGTGTTTGCAAAAGGGAAACAAACTTTTGATGGGGTGCTTTGTTTGTCATACAGTGGGGGACCCCTAGATTTCTGGAACCAATTTGGGGTATTTGTAAATTTAAAAGTATGTAAAAAGGGAAAAGGTCCCGAAGTTTTAAGTTTCCAAGTTGAGTGTTTTTTTATTAATTTTTTGTCATGTTTTTCCCTTTTCCCTTTTTTTAAACCTGTTTTAAGGGTTTATTTTTACCTCTGTGCCAGTAATGGGGTTAAATTTTTATTAAAATTCAATAGGACTTGCCCATTAGCACTTCTAGGTGCCGTTATAGAATGCTACAAAAGTTTAAAAACAAAGTCTTTAGAGAAAAGGCTTTTGGTAGAGTTCTTACCCCCCCCCCTCCCTCTATTAGAAGTCGATGTAAATACAAAATCTTTGCTGTTGTAGGTTTTAAATTATTTTGTGTATTTTATAAATGATGTTGTAGGTAATGGATTTAAACTGTGTAAAACTTTATTTTGTGTAGGGCACCCAGTTTGGTAAAATGTTGAGTTTGGCAGTTGGGTTGCTAGAAGCATGGTTGGAAATAGTGTCTTAATGTAATAATGTTATAATACAAGGATGGCAAAAATGTTGAGAAGCTTCTAAGTGTATTAACTATACGACAATTTAGTATATGTAGGTGTATATTTATATATATGAACAATTCAATGCTGGGGATATCCCGCGCAGCATGTAAATTATTTTCGAAAATGATTTTTTGGGGTAAAGTATATTTTAGATTTTGATATTTTGGGAGTTTTAATTTGGGTTTAGTGTAAATATTGGGAGAGGGAAAAGTAAGGGGGCTCCCCTGACTTCAAAAAACATTCAAACCCTTAAAATTTTCCAAATTTATGCTTATTAAATTAAAATTTTTATTTTTTAACAATTTTTTTTCCCGGGTTTTAGTTTAATAAAGTTGCGGGGGTTTTTTATTTTTTTGGGTTATTTTGCTTTTTTAAAGTTAATTAAATTCCCGGGAACCCTTTTTGAAAAAAGAAATATCAAAACCTTTTAAAAATTTAGTTTGGAGTCCCTTTAAAATTTTTTTTAATTGTGATTATTTTTTAGATTTGGGAGTATTGAGTGGGTTTCCCCAGGGTTTTAATTAAAAGATTTTTGGGTTGGTTTGATTGGTGTTTATATTTTATTACAGGCATCGGGTTCATTTTATGTACATGTAATGAATGACTTGAATGTAATGCATTTTAATTTCATGCAGTTTACATTGTAGCAAAATTAAAGATAAGCTTACTTTATGTTTCCTTAGGTATGTGTATTAGTAAGAATTAAAGCTTTTTTTTCAAAGCTGACTATAGGTGTGAAACTCACCTTGCACATGTTGTTAATGTAATTTGTCATCAAGGAATATGTTATTTTGTAAAGTAAAAGATGAAATTATAGCTTTTGTAATTGTATAGTCAACTTATATGCTAATTAGCCAGGCTATTTGGTAGGATTGAACAGGGATTTTGAAGTAGATATCTCTTTCAGTAATTTTTAGAAAGGCACTAGTTTTAAGATAAAAGTCCTTGTTTTAAATCATTTATTTTCTTTTCTATAATCATGTTCATTTAATATTTTTCACTCATCATTTAAGATTTAGATTAAATCAGATTACAGAGGAATCGTACACAGTTCTGTACCCTTTTTAAATAGACTTCATCTAAATATAACATGGTTGGTTTTATTTTGAGCATTATTGTTTTACAATGTTTTAAATAGTGTTGTTTATCTTTTAATATTTTGCTTGATAAAACATCAATACATACATTATTTCATATGTCTAAAAAAATGTTTTTCTCTCTCGCATTTTAGTTATGAATTTTCACCATTTTGAATAATAAATAATAAATTAACATCACCTTAGTGCAGTAACAGGTTAAATCCTTTTAAGTTTGACAGGAGTTAACCAGTTATTGTACTAAGATGACAATATAATACCAATCTCATTTACTACATGGATTTATTTCTGTTATTATGCATGATTGACTGTCATTTATAGCATATATTCCGGAGGTCTTCCTCCACCAGTAAAACTGGAATGTCATTATATGAACTAAAATGTGTTGGTGTGGTGTAAAACCCAATTTAACAAACAAGCAAACAGCATATATTCAATCATAAAAAATGTAGTGTAAAATTGAGATCAGTAAATTCCTGATTAGCAGTAAAAGTGTCATTTCTGTTGTTTTAGAACTTAGATTGTTTATAGCTTTGGTTACTTTAGTTACCACATTTTGACACACTTTTTTTGAAAAAAAACAAAAACAAAAACAAAACAAAAAAACACAATCAAGAATACAGTACTAAGCTTATTGGAAAATAATGTGTCAGAAATAATGAACAAAATTTTAAAATCATAACATGCCCTCCCCCCGTGAATGTTTTGGCTAGGAATATTTTCTTTCCAGGTTAAGTTATGAAATATCTTGTTGTGTACTAGGATTTAAAACCCACAAAATATATTTGAGCAGGAAATGAGTTATTTTAATGGGTTTTCATTGGGACCAATTTGCATTTATTTCTTTTAACAGTAGAATATAATAGACAGGAAATTAGACAGGAAGCTTCTCTTTCCGATTGTCTCTGAAAATCGATAACTAATCGGACCACCCCAAAATCGGCAACAATCGATAGTCATTTTTAACAATTGATTATTCTAATGTTCTACCACCACTGAATTGCCTAGGGCGTAACTTTTTACACACTGTCAAATAGAAGTTTCCCGACCAAATCTCTTTAATTCCAGAGGATCCTATAGTCTTTTTTGTTTGCCTTATCAAAAAAGATATACAGAAAAAACATGGCTAGTGAATAACTGGGCAATTTGAACGACTTTGTTTCCTGAACACAAAAGCAAATTCATCTTTGCGTCTCACAAAGTAGTAGTATTAGGTATTTGTGATGTTTGTTTTGAATTCAAAGAGTAAATCTTACTTTAATCAAGGAGACAAGAGCTTATTTATTCTCAAAATATGGTCACTACTGTATAAAAAATACATACAAGGATTGGTACCTTGAAGGAAAAAGGGCCAAAAAATGCATAATTCGATTATACTATCGGGAGACAATCGATTGTGGTCATCCGATTATCGATAGTGATTTTCGAGTCCGATACCCAACACTACTTCTCTTACTGCTGTATTGAGATCTTAATTGTCAACTTACATTTGTAACGTTCACTATAGATTATATAGAGGATATTTGTTTAGTTCAGTGTAAGATCGGAATATATTTCACCGAGTGAGCACCAAAAGGTATATTTCACGAGTGGCGCAGCCACGAGTGAAATATGAACTTTTGGTGTTCACAAGGTGAAATATATTTCGATATTACACTGAATTAAACAAATTTTCTTTTTATTACATGCAAAGAAACGTTTTAAAAAGACATTAAACCTAATGTAATGAAATGTTATATTTTTGATATTTTACTGAACATTGATATGATACTATGTTCTTGCAAATGTGTTAAATTTTTGTAGTGTTTATAATTATGTTTAATTTGCCAGTTTCATTCAGATCTGTACCAGTATTTGTTTAGATAAACTGTAAAACCAGTTATATGTAGCTTACAGCACATCAGAGGTTCTACTCAGGTTCCCTTATGTTCCTGAAATAATGTATCTACATTTAAGCCTGTTTGTGCCTGAAATAAAGTACAGAGTGGCACCTGAGGTCTATCTCAACCAGTTAAGCTGGAAAGTTGTCATATGACATACAGTGTTGGTGCGACATAAAAACCCAACAAAAAACAAAACAAATGTAGATATGCATCTATAGAAGAATAGCAAATAGATCTTAAGGTGTCATTTAGTTACAATGTGTAAATTTTGCTAGAACCTGTTCTATTTTGAGAAACATTTAGGAACAAAGTCAAGTATTTCTTAGTTATTTTGAAACAGAAAATGGACTTTGTATTTTTATTATGCATAGAAAGTATCATATGTATGTTTTATCATAGATAAAAATAGACTGATAATATGCCGTTAGAAGTCTATAGAAAATAAGTTAAATAACTGATTTGTTTTGGATAAAATGTATTTTGTATTTGTTGTAAGATGATGTTTATGTAGTATGAAAGTACATTTTGGAAATAATAGACTTTTTTGTGTTTTGTTATATTTACACAATGTAGAAAGTATGTGATAATTAAAAACTCATTTGGAATGAAATATCATAGTGAAAATGAATAATTATTATTAGTAGGTCAGTGGTTGAAATATACAGTACTAGATATATTTATGAAAGAAGATACTGCACTACAAAGGGAAGATAATTCAACTGTTTCCAATTTTTTTATGCATCTTGTTTGTCAAGTACAGAAAAGGTTAAGATATTTAGGACAACTCACTCTGAACCTGCCTGATTTTATGTAATGGATTTGCCTTGTTATGAATTTAGAAAAGTCCACTCATAGTTTAAGGTATTTTAATATCAAGATAAAAAATGGGCTAGCAACAGTACATAGCCTAATCAGGCTGCACAGATTTGTAGGATGTTTTGGTTCAATACAGATGCCTTAGTCTGATCATTTTTTGTTTACTGCCTAATTGATCATGTGCCAATGTTCATAGAAGAAAAAGTTTTTCTCTAAAGTAGGACATGTGTATGTTTTACTGTATATAACTTGTAAGTGACTGAAATGTTTTTAACCCTTAACCTGCTGAATAGACTTGCCTATCTTTGAAATTGGAACAGTCCGTTCAAAGTTTAAGGGTTTCAGTATCAAAATACAAAAAATTAAGCAACCACCAGTAAAGAGTCTGGTCAGATAGGTGGGCCTGGCTCCATACTGATGGCAAAGGCTAGGCAAGAAGGTTCCAGCAAGTTAAGGGTTAACTGCAGCTTAAATTCGAAACAGTTCTAGTTTGTTCTTTCTAATGCAGACTTACTGTCAGATAATAACAAAGGTAAATATGATTAAATTTAGTTCTATTGTTTGTAGACTATATCATTATGTTAATTTTTAATGAGTAGATATCTTTAGTTTTTGTATGATATATAAAGTATTTTATAGGTGGTGGTAGTTCAGTTGAGTAAGATAATGTAAAAATTGAGATTTTCAATTACAATAAAAATATGTAGACAATACCTGGTGATAGCTGTCTCTGATTTATGAGTTCCGACCCAATCTAAGCTTGCAGTCGCATTTGAAATGTTTACAAAATATTTGTACATTTGTACTTAATTAACCACGAAGGGATTATAAAAGTAATGTGATTTATATCTTATCTAAATATGATTCTAATTCATTGTTAAGAAGTCAGTTTTGCATCAAATCATATGATTTTACTGTTATAGTCAAGAATTTTTGATATACATAGTAGAGTTTATATATTAGTATACATGTTCTTCATATTCTTTACAGGTAGTTGAAAACCCTGTCGGCAAACAATGTGTTGGCACAGATGGTACATAGAATCATTTGAATCTCTAAAAGACTGTTGGTAGGTATTAGAATGTAGCTGTTATTATTTAACACTTAAAGCAGCATACCTTCAGATTCATGCTTAGTTTTATGAAAATAAGGAAAATGTATTTTTAAAGTGTAATGTTGTGAAGTGAACAAAGAAAGTAATTTACACATTGCAAACGGCACTAGCAATCCATGTTAATTACCAGACAGTGGTCAAAATATGCAAAAATAGTCTTGTTGGTCACCCAGTAGAAATATGTTGATAAATACTGCAAAATCAGTATCATGTTAGTTATTACTTTAATCTTGAAAATTTTACTTTTCGTAAAAGTTTAGTATGTTTTTAAGTTTGATTTCATAAAATATTTTGGCTCATCTGGAGGCATGCAGCTTTAACCTGCTGAAACTGACTGTAATTGTCTGGAGTCATGCAGCTTTAACCTGCTGAAACTGACAGTAATTGTCTGGAGTCATGCAGCTTTAACCTGCTGAAACTGACAGTAATTGTCTGGAGTCATGCAGCTTTAACCTGCTGAAACTGACAGTAATTGTCTGGAGTCATGCAGCTTTAACCTGCTGAAACTAACAGTAATTGTCTGGAGTCATGCAGCTTTAACCTGCTGAAACTGACAGTAATTGTCTGGAGTCATGCAGCTTTACTCTGCTGAAACTAACAGTAATTGTCTGGAGTCATGCAGCTTTAACCTGCTGAAACTGACTGTAATTGTCTGGAGTCATGCAGCTTTAACCTGCTGAAACTGACAGTAGTTGTCTGGAGTCATGCAGCTTTAACCTGCTGAAACTGACAGTAATTGTCTGGAGTCATGCAGCTTTAACCTGCTGAAACTAACAGTAATTGTCTGGAGTCATGCAGCTTTAACCTGCTGAAACTAACAGTAATTGTCTGGAGTCATGCAGCTTTAACCTGCTGAAACTGACAGTAATTGTCTGGAGTCATGCAGCTTTAACCTGCTGAAACTAACAGTATTTGTCTGGAGGCATGCAGCTTTAATCTGCTGAAACTGACAGTAATTGCCTGTGCCATAAGTATATAGTTAGGCCAGCCTGACCATCTGTGCCGTCTGACCAGGCTGTTGGCTGATATAAATTAAATCAACATCTTGGCATGCCAAAAATTAATAATACTGGACAGTTAAAAATGGTAGGGTGGCAAGTCCTATTAAGAAAATCAGCAGTTTATGGGTTAATTGAAGTAAATATTTGTGGTATATACATCATTACCTTCTGACATTTCCAATTTATGTCTGTGAATAATTTAAAATTAGAATAATTTAAACTTTTGTAAGCCAGACTTTTTATAAGAAGGGGAACCATTTGCTTAACTGTTTCCATTTACTGTATATTTCTTTTTGTGTATTTCCAGACAACGTGGTGCAAAAGATGTCAACATAACCTGTCCAATAGAGCAATTTACAGACCAATAATGCCTTCAAAGGGTCTCTTTCGGAGTAAATTCAGCAAAATATTGGAAGGTAAACCAATGTTTCAGAGAGCATTAATAAGCTATAGTAGATAGGCTTAGTAAGTTTTAATAATAATAGATCTTCTCATCATTACTGCTGTGTTCGTATAAGTCTTATCAGCATAGGTAATTCTGTCAAACTTATTTCAAACAAAATTTAGTTACAAATGCTGTTTATATATCTTGGTCTTATGTCTTAGTTCTAAAATTGTTGGGGGGGGGGGTACTTTTGATGAAAGAGTTCATTTCAAGGAATATTTTGTTAATTTATTTAGACAAACTGAGTTTTACATATATTGCACAAAAAAATCACCAAAACAATCATCACTTATTGTGTAATTATTTCTATTACAGTAGAAGGTCCTGCATGATGTTGTAGTGCGTTGTTTTCTGGAACAGATTCAATGGTCTACGGTGAAGATTTACCAGTTTGCTATCAACTTACAATACAATTTAAAAGGATAAACACCATTGTGCTATTTGATAATGGGAATAAGTCGACATTTTTATTGTGTAGACAATAAAAATACCAGCTTTTAATCACGTGCATAAAAATTGTATTTTGTTGATAATTTCTTTGGTCTATAGTGAAGTCTCTGACTATTATCGGAATATTCTTTATTTATTACATTGTCAATTGAGCGGATATGCTTCTATCAACTAGCTTTTATCTGAATATTATCTAATAAAGATTTGTTCCGCGTAGATAGGAGAAAGTAGCTAATATACAGAGAGACGCTGTTTAAAAATAGTTGCCAATGGTTGACAAATCAAACATAAACTGTTCTTGACACAGCTTTCAAGTTATCATTACATTGCACTGAAAGAATTGCAAATAAAAAGGGATCCAATTACACTTTTCTTGTTTATTTTATTGAAGAAATCCCCCATATTGATAACTACATTAAACATCCCATTGTCTGCACAAAACCCAGTCCCACCTCACACTTTACACTCAGGGCTTTAAAAGAGTCCTTAATAAAACTCTGAGTGATTTACACAATAAAACATAATTCAGATATTTTGAGATTGATGGAGGAATAGCAGCTGGTGTATGCATGTACTATTACAATTACGATATTGCAATATGATTTATGAATAACAATATCGCCAACTATCATACGTCCCACCTAATGGATTAGCTCGTTCAGGGTGATCTGAATTCCCTCTTTCGTCGTTAAAATGTTTTTTTTTATGAAACTATTTGTCATATTTTCTACTGTATCTTAGTGGTCTTTAAATTTTTTTAATAATTTCCAGAATCAATGGATATATCCTCAGTTAAATTTGTCTGATCCTAAGTATGTAATTATCAAGTTTACTGTTAACTTAATAAACTTGAAAGGCCCATTTTAATGGTTAGAGAAAGCAAAACATTATTTTATTAAACCAGATGAGATGTAGTCAAACTTTCTCGGCAGCACCCATGTATGGTCATCTATCGAATTTGCAAAAACGGTAATAATGATGATCTTCATTTCATGGGTCACTAATTTCAATAAAGATCACCTATTGCAATAAAGGCCATTTTTCAACAACCATTCATTAATTGAAGTAGAAAGACACTGTTGATACCTACTTTTCAAAAAAGAAATACGATGTTAGTACCTTTGAACGAAACCAAAAAAAAAAAAACAATTGTAATTTAAATATGCCCACTGATGTTCAATTTTAAACAAATCCGACTAAATGTCACAGGTTGGTTTTTTAGCTCACCTGTCACAAAGTGACAGGGTGAGCTTTTGTGATCGCTTTTCGTCCGGCGTCCGTCCGTCGTCCGTCCGTCCGTAAACTTTTACTTGAAATGACATCTCATAAACAACTAAGCCTATTTCATCCAAACTTCACAGGAATGTTCCTTTGGTGGTCACCTTTAAAAATTGTTCAAAGAATTTAATTCCATGCAGAACTCTGGTTGCCATGGCAACCGAAAGAAAAAACTTTAAATATCTTCTTTTAAGAAATCATAAGAGCTAGAGCTAAGATATTTGGCATGAAACATCTTCTAGTGAGTGTCTACCAAGTTTGTTCAAATAAAAGCCCTGGGGTCAAAATTGGCCCCGCCCCGGGGGGTCATTGATTTTCCCTATATGCATATAGTAAAAACTTAAAAAATCTCTCTTAAAGAACCCAAAGAGCTAGAGCTAAGATATTTAGCATGAAACATGTTCTAATAGGTGTCTACCAAGTTTGTTCAAATAAAAGCCCTGGGGTCAAAATTGGCCCCGCCCCGGGGGTCATTGATTTTCTCTATATGCATATAGTAAAAACTTAAAAAATCTTCTTTCAAAGAACTCAAAGAGCTATGGCTAAGATATTTAGCATCAAACATGTTCTAATAGGTGTCTACCAAGTTTGTTCAAATAAAAGCCCTGGGGTCAAAATTGGCCCCGCCCCAGGGGGTCATTGATTTTCCCTATATGCATATAGTAAAAACTTAAAAACTCTTCTTTTAAAGAACCAAAAGAGTTAGAGCTAAGATATTTAGCATGAAACATGTTCTAATAAGTGTCTACCAAGTTTGTTCAAATAAAAGCCCTGGGGTCAAAATTGGCCCTGCCCCAGGGGGTCATTGATTTTCCCTATATGCATATAGTAAACTTAAAAAATTTTCTTTTAAAGAACTCAAAGAGCTATGGCTAAGATATTTAGCATCAAACATGTTCTAATAGGTGTCTACCAAGTTTGTTCAAATAAAAGCCCTGGGGTCAAAATTGGCACCGCTCCGGGGGTCATTGACTTTCCTTATATGTGTATAGCAAAAACTTAAAAAATCTTCTTTGAAAAAACCCAAATAGCTAGAGTTTAGATATTAAGCATGAAATATCTTCTAGTAAGTGTCTACAAAGTTTGTTCAAATAAAAGCCCTTGGGTCAAAACTGGCCCGGCCCCAGGGGTGTCATTGTTTTTAACTATATGTGTATAGTAAAAACTTTAAAAAAATCTTCTTTTAAAAAGCCCAATGAGCTAGAGCTTAGATGTTTAGCATGAAACATCTTCTTATGGGTGTCTACCAAGTTTGTGCAAATAAAAAGCCCTTGGGTTAAATTGGCCCTGCAATGTTGGGGGGGGGGGGGGTGGTGGGGGTTGGGGGCCTATATACAGGTGAGCGACCTCAGGGCCATCATGGCCCTCTTGTTGTTCTTTCGGTTTCTACAACCATAATAATAAATAAATGAATAATGTATTGTTTGCCTTTGTACCTATGAATTCACCTATTTTAGGTGGACTTTTACTACATATATTGGAAATAAACTTGTCAACAACTCCCAGCATTAAATTACTATTTGTTTACATGTTTAGTTTCTTAGCGTAGGTTAGACCGGAATACCGGAAGACTGACTGAAAGGGCCGAGTAGTTGCGATTGCTATTGTATCTATATATGTTACTATAAATATACCAAAACGTCACTTGCACAATGAAATGAAATGCATTGCGTTTCATGTTACAAAACATGAATGTAACAACAAAATATAAAAAGTATAAAAAAAACAAACTAATTATGACTTTAAAATGAAATCTTAGGACTAGTGATAAGAAGACAAACAATAACACGGAAATAATAATAATTTTGAAAGTCTTTATATAAAAGATATCAAATACCTACAGGTTATTAATAAAAGACATAAAATGTCTAGCTGTTTATTAACATAAGAAGGAAATTTTATATCCGTAGAATACAACTTGACCCGAGGGAAGCCGACACCCCTCTGTCGTGGCAGAAAAAAATTTAACGTAATGATAAATATCCGCAGTGCAATATTTAACAAATGTAACTGGCATGCATTCGTTAGGTATTTTTAAGATACTACGAGAACAGCTTGGGCTCTGAAAAGTCGGTGCGCTCTGGTGATCATATGCTCCTTGAGTAGCGGACTTGAACTCAAGTTAGGTTAATCTAACACATATATGTAATTTGTGATCAGATTTAGTTTCTGGTGATAGAACTGATACATTACTGCACATATTATAAAGTCGTTTGAAAGATTTAGTTACTGGTAATGAAACCTGGCTCTATCATTCTATCTGTAGACGAAGCCTAAATTTCTTCTGACAGTTAAAGAGTTATTAACGCTCCCAAAATGACACCTGAAGTCGCCTATTGAGCAAAATAGAGTTAATATAAATTCTGAAGTAAATACATTGTAAAAACCAGCACCTAAAGGCTTGAGAAAGTTATAAAATGACATGGATAAATGTAAATAATATTGATTCATACATAAATTAAACGTTGATTGGTGACAACTGCTCTTCCTTGTACAAGAAAATGTCATTTCGTTACCTTAACCATCTTTGAAAAAGACTATGCAATTTAATCACTTATGTTATCTATATGAAACTTAGTATATAGCCCTTGACTTTTTGTCAAGTAATGGTTTAGATATCAGTCAAAGTTACGTAATGTTTTATAGGTATAGATGGCTACTTGCATGAATATTCAAGCGGAGATATACTTGCCAATGAATATATAATCCTTTTTATCTTACCTAATTCTAACTCGATGACGATGCACGATGGAGTACATAAGTTTTTTAGTTATGGCTATCATTCTTTCATCAACTTCAGGTACTCCTTCTCTGTTTGATTGTTTATTTTTAAACATATTATTTCTTCTATGAATTTATATATATCATGTGAACAGAAAATTAATGTTTAATTGTTTCGTCTTTAATTGTAAACATTGTTTTTAAATAATAATATTTTTATTTGATTATCTTAAATCAATCACATTAAAAGTATTTATTTTACGATAGTTTATGTGATTTGAGGTGTTAGGAGACCCCGTACAGCATGATTGATTAATTTGATGAGAAATTCCTTTAGGGTTAAATTCCTTTATGTTATTTGAGTTTAAACTCATTCGCACCAACCCATCGAAATAACATTCTTAACAGTTAGGTTGAGAAAGGATTGTAGGTTTTACCCTGTTTTCATTTTCGGATAATTAAAGATTCTGATGTTGATTCAGCTATATTTTAATATATACCCACATATTAAAATTACACTGAACTTTAATCTAAGTATGCATAATTTATCTATTTTAATAGACTATAAATTGATAAAAAACAACATTTTTCAGACTTCAGCTAGACAGTAATAAAATTCGAAAAAGTACGACCCAGTTTTATGTTTACGATTTCAATAGTGTAGTTATCAATATATTGCTATAAGATTTTTATAATCTTTGCGTAAGAAGCGTTATATATATGGACATAAATGCAGTTTATCTCTGACTTGTATATACAATGACTTATACTATGAACGACAAGAGAGAGGGAAAGATCGATCGTAAATTGTTTTATGGACTCTTTACATACTGGTTTGATTTATTGAAACTAACGTACCCTTATAAATTCAAACATGTTTAAAATGAAAAAAAAAAATGACGTTCTTTTAAAACTTTGATCTAGTAATTAAACTGCGTGAGAACAATAATAACAATAAATAGCTCAGTGAAAAGTAGCAATGAAAAAAAAAAAAAAAAAAAAAAAAAAACAACGACAACAAAAGACAACCCATAACCCCCCCCCCCCCCCCCCAAAGAAAAAAGAACTGGCATTAAAATCTTTAAAAACGAACAACATAATTGATGCGCACTGACAGTGTTAAAGACACATTATGTCCCTGAAATTAATATTTTTTATTATTTAGAAATGTCAAAAATGTGTTGAATAATATTTAAATAATGGATTTAAAGCATTTTAAATGTTTTATAGTTGAAGAAAGTAGCATTGAACATATAGTTATATGTTTTAAAGGTAGCAAAATGTAAACAAAGTAGTATTTTGACTTCCATTCATAATAATGATTCACTATAATTATACCAGTTGCCAACTGAGAAAACTGAGAAAAAGTAGCACTGATAGTTCATGACTATAGCTTATATTTTTTTTGTAGAAACTGTACCAAGATACCAAATAACGAAAAGGTTTACAGAAGTAAAATTGATAGCATTTCTGTGTAATAATGGGTATTAATAATTCAAGAAAAATAAGTTGTGATGCAGTGTATGCAAATAATATTGAAATTGTTTAAATATTAAATGAATTTATATGTCAATAGCTTTTCTAAAATCTAAACTTTTCGTGTCTCAACAACTGAATGTATAATGTATTCACTGTTTCATTACTTAGAACAAAATAATGTAGCACAATTCTCTAACTGTCATGCGCGCTAATATAACTCTTTGGATTTAGGATAGAAATATTTATATCATTCCTTTTTTCCAGTTTCGTCCGTAGATTTTACCATTTCTAGGGAAAAGGTTTTGATAAGTAGTACAGGGACTTTGACAATGTCTTGTGAAATCACTGAAACAGATGTCGATATTACTTACCTCATACAGATACGAAGACTTAAATCAACCACACTTTCTGGATCAGATCCTAATGATTGGCAGACATTAACATTAATGGAAGCAGGACTTAATGAAACTCCAACATTAGGAGAAGATATTGTAGCTGTAGCAGGTACTAAAGACTTTGTTGCTGGAGGATCATGGAATTCTACAACACCTGCTAACACGTATCTTACATTGTCTATGAACATGGAGAAGTTAGTTTGCGATGATGCCAGGTATTATAGATGTGAATTGACATATAAAAGCTCCACAACAACGGCTGAAGCATCAGTTGCAAAAAATGCAACATTCTTAGCTTTTGGTAAGATTTACATTTTTCAGTTTGTCATTGCATTTGCACTGGTCAATAAGATTATATATCAAAAATAACATAGCATCCCGCACTATCACGAACTTCAAGATCAATCAATTATAAATTGATCAAGTTTCCTCGCCAGTTTATACATACTAAATATTCAAACATGTATTGAATACTTAACATGTTAAACTTCGTTACCTCAATGACCATTAAGGTTTAAATTATGTGAAACAAATAATACCCGGTATTGTATATTTACCAGTAAAACCCAAAGTGACTTCACTGATTGCAAGGAAGAATGGTTTTATTGTACAAGGGTCATCATCAAATGAAGTTGCCCCGTTTAAAGTTGGAGACGGACTGGAACTCAGCTGTACCTCTAATATAGGCAGCCTCTCAAGCACGATTATCAAATGGCAGAGAACATCAGAAACAGCATCAAATGATGAATTTATTGAGTACCAACCAGCGCCTGGTACATTCAATGATGGCACAGCAACTAGCGACAATCAATGTGGGTATATCAGAGTGGCGACCATAAAATACAACGCAACAACTGCTGATGCCAGTAGAGAAAACCATCTTGCATTTGAGTGTTATGTTACTGTAAGTGGAGATCCTTATGGGACATCATATATATCGGAAAACAATCCAAGATATTATGCTGATGTCAGTAAGTGATGCCCCGATATTTTGCAAAATGTCAGATAATTGCAAAATCAAACGGAATTAGTTCAACAGGATAATATGTTTTTTTTTTCATTTTGTTATTGAAGGATTTTTTTTATAGATATTATAAGTACAAGATTATTGATTAAAAACACGAATATTATTAAGCTTATCAGCACGCATAAATAAAAAGCCACAATTCAATTGATTTCCCCCAATTCTTTTATTGTATACCCGAGGAAGAGGTTCGAAATGACATCGAATTATGAATATCATGGTTGTTTGTTTGATGAATAACACTATAAGACTTGTTTCATTTGATTTTTATTATCATTTTATGAATTGAATTCCTCACTTACATTTATTTTCACAGACAAATGTGACGCATCAAAAATAAATTGTGTTTCTTTTCTTTTTAAGGGTAGATAAAGTTTTGTGTATTAGAAATAAAGACTTATAAAATTTAGTGCTGAACAATCTCACGTAATTTTGAAATATTATAACATTTGTGAAAATTAATATATTTTTTTATTTATTTCAGCGGAATCATCGTGGAATGATGGAACAAGAACTTCAGCAATCAGTCTAACATTATTGGCCTGTATAAGCATTTGTGCGATCTTGGCAAATGGCATTTAAACTTTGCTGTACAAACTCAAATAGTGCAAAATATATTTGGAATAAGTTGAAAAACCACATTATCTGAAATAACAGTGGTATAATATGATTGACAGATTGAAGTCAGAGAAAGATTAATAGTTCATTGCTGAAAGAAAAACAAATGCTATATAGTGTCAAAACTACTTTTGGTATGTTTTGAACAGATTTACTAAATTAAGATATACAATATTTTGTTTTGTTTACTATAGTATTTCTTGTCAACAATAAAAATATTATTATTAAACATTATTTTAAATATTAACAAATCAGCCTAACGGAATCATGAAATTATTTCACGACAATATCAGTTGTTGTAGCCTTCATCCCATGTATTCTTGAACACAATAGCAAAGTTTTGTTATTTGTAACAAAGTCAACAATATTTGATAATTGAACAATATTTGATAATTGAAAATCTTAGACAGCTTGCTTCCATGCCTCTTTTAAAGTATTTAAAAGCTTCAAATCGCAATGCTGTAGAAGGTGCGAGGCAAGTACTTATAATCAATAGAGCCCAATGTTATGTGATGTGCTTTGCACAAATCACTGACATGGAGATTCAAATAAGAAGCAAGCCCGGCAACGAAAAAAAACACAATATGTTACTTAACTCCCCGAGACTCAACAGCTGGAATACAAATGTCCTAACCCCACGTATAAAACAGCTCAGAGTCCATCCAGCCGTTTTCACTTCTCCCTAAATCAGCATCAGGGAAATTTTCAAGAGAATTTTGATGAAAGCTTCGGCCTGAAAAAAAAACTATCATCGGATGAATATAATGTCTAGTTGTACTCATGCACACAAACACAGTGATTTGCGTTTTTCTTTTGGACAACTTAAAGTTATACACAATTGTTGAACCCTTTTGTGCTAGGACCTTGCCTGACCGAGGACATAATGGAAATAACAAACCCAGATTAGTCTGCACTGTATACACAAACAGAATAGGGTCCTTTTCCTAGTCTGAAATATACACCCTATACCCAGTTCACAGTTTTTGAGCCTTTGACGGAGATATAACGGCCTATTACTTTCCAAATGGCTGCAATTTTAGAATGTCGTTTAACAAATGCATACCACCAATGTCACCAATGTCTTTATAACCATGTCCTGAAATTCATTTCTGGTCCGTCCAAAGCCAAAACGAGCTAGTCAACTCAGCTGCAGTAAGTATTCTCGTTGACGGAGGTAACGAAGTCCTATTGTTGAGTTTGTGAAACAAAATCGACCGAGGGACTTCATAAGCTCTTGTTGCTCCACAAAGTGACATTGAAATTGACTTGGCTTCCGCAACAGCGTTGTTTATGGCAATCTGATCGTAGGTTTTCTTACTTTTACCAATTTGGCGGCTCATATCTAAACTGAATATGAATTAAAATGCAATGTAGTATACACATCATATTCAATTAAATATCAATATTTATTTATTAATCTACTCATTGATCCATTTTTATTCATTTTTTTATTTATACATATATATTATATTTTCTTTTATTCAAACAAGTGATTTACATGTATATTATTTCTCAGTTCCTTCATTCCTTCCTTCCTTCCTTCCTTTAAATAATAATAATAATAATAATAACTGATAGATTCGCGCATTACAGAGTCTTTGAATATATAGTCTGATTTTATTGACCTGTCAATTATGCATACATTATAGAACTCATTTAAATATTCGATCCCACTTCGGTTTGGTCCGTGAAGTTTACGAGAATTAATGTGGAGTATATTAGTCATGGATTGAAAGTCACGCCAGCTTAATGTGAAGGTTTTCGTTAATTCACAATAGTACAGTCGGTTAAGAGAATGCCTGATAAATTAGAGGTCTGTGGTTCGATCCTTGCTGTTGCCATTGTTTTAGTACTCTTTCTTTATTTTTGCCGTATATTTTAATGGAACAGTTTGTAGTGTGTTTTACAGCATTGAAAAGACATTTATTGATTTAAATCCGTTTTAATTTTAAACATGAATTCTTAAAACATGTTATTTAAAAAGAATATAGATATAACAAAATTAAGTAAAACATAATAAAACAAAACGAACATATATAGCTCCAATATTGTTGAAAGTATTAATAAGAAAATAAAAACATAGACCTACGCGGTCTCGAACTTAAAACACGTGTGGCACTTAGAGTATAAACTCGTGCTTTACCCTATTGCGCTATAACGCTGAGTACTTTTTGTTGAGAGATACAAATTAAATTAAATTCCATCGTACAGCGTACATCTCACGGAACTTACCGAAAATCTACCGAAGATTAATATACTGTGTGCATCGACCGTGTAATCAGTATGTAATTGACAGGTTAATAAAACCAAACAATACCCGAATATTTAAATCTTTATTCGCCAAGTATCAGACACGACGTTTGTAAATAATCAAGCCATGTAAACGCTTTATTAAAGCTTCCAAGTGACCATCATGGTCGTAAAATGGTCAGTGGGGGAAACTGTTTATCTTAGAGCATACATAACGAACTAGAATTTCATAATCATGTAAATCTTACTTGCTCAATGTAATGTTCAGTGATGCGATTTGTTATTGAAAATACGTCAGAACGTGTTAGCATAGAATACATTAATTGGCGCGTTTCAAACTACCTGCTTTTGGCGGGAAAGTTTATATTTCACGATGTTAAACAGGAAAAAAGAGACACCGTCCGAATATATATTCGAACATATTAGGCCCGAACACGCTCTAGATACATTCATAATTGTTTATGCTTCAATTTCGGTTTCATGTTACTGAATCAGGTAAAATAAGATATTATTTCAAACACGTGAGAGTTATAATTTAGTATATTTTAACGCTTGTTTTAATGTCTTTAAAAGCAAGAAAAATTTAAAAAATTCTTTCTTACGTATCGATGCACCAGGAAACACTGATACTATTAATGGTAGGATATATTTATCGGACTTTCAATGAAATTTTTACATGTAAACAACTTATTTGGTACATACAAATTAGTCAGACATATAACATGTGTTTTTTCTTTTTATTTTACTTCATTCATCTTTAAAGGTAACTTTCATACACCTGTATTTAAGCATTACAATTTGTGATGTGCTCGTGTACAAGCGGTACATTTGATCAATATGATATACCAGACTAAGTTGTCTTCTTGTGTGTGAAATTATTGTTGAAAGCGTATCACGTCGTTTTTTCATTTAACAATGTATATTTGCCTTATTACCGTTAGCAATTCCATTTGTTTTGTTTTGGAAAACAATAAGGAGCACATTGTATTATACTGTGTTTTACTTGTGAGTAGAGAATTCTTTCATAGTCTACAACTGAATATTTGCATTAGCAATTTTCAAATTTGATTTCAATTCATTCTGTTTTAAATAGTTAAAACTGATAGTGAACCAAAATGTGATTCTTTTTCTTGAACTTAATTTTATAGGAAGAAGTTTATACATGATTACCAATGTTCTAAACATTAAAGATCCTGTAACACAATTTTTATGGTTTTATATCATAAATATGATGCTCAAATTACGATTTATCAATTTTATAAGTTCCAAAAAGCATTATTTATAAAGACATTACCGAATTTGATATTTCATGCAAATAAATAGAGGATATTTGTTTAGTTCAGTGTAAGATCGGAATATATTTCACCGAGTGAGCACCAAAAGGTATATTTCACGAGTTCACTGAACTAAATAAATTTTCTTTTTATTATTTGCAAAAAACGTTGTAAAAAGGCATTAAACCTAACACTGAATGAAAAGTGCGCCAAATAATAATACAACGTGACGTCATTTACGACGTCACGGCATTAATGTGGTACCCAGTACTGTGTACGCTGGTATTTCACTGAAACAACGTAAGGGGCTTAAATTCAAAACAGTGAAATTATCAAAGTGGTAATTTCACTGTTTCAAACAGTGAAATTACCAGTTTTATATCACTGATATATTTCTATAAACCACCGAAAAGCATGTAATAAAGGGAAGTAATAAAAAATATTTTCTATAAAGTCTAGGTCAATTTTTTCAATAAGAAATGAATGCATATATTTAAATTAAAAATTTAATGATTACATATGATATGTACAAATATGTGCAGTACATATTTTACATATTCTTCGAAGTTTAAAAAAATGTTTTATAAGCATAATTATATACATACATACATGTATAATTTCACTCAAGTGTGGTATGCAACCTCAATTACAACATAAAGGATCTTTATCACACACCCGTGCCGATTTTGCGACTCCGTAAATATGGTATTGCACGGCCGTGCATATATTATGACGTGACGTCATGAGCGTTATACAAACGTATAGTGTAAAGACGCGCTAAATGTTAGCGTTATACTATAGGCGCGTCAATGAAAAATGACTCTTATTTCACTTTAAACGGTCTTTTTTTTTGGGTATGTGATAAATAGAATATTAAATTCGTGTAAGTTCATTACAGAATTTATTGCACTCGTTGAATAAAATAATATTATGCTCGCCAGAGGCTCGCATAATATAATTTTATTCAACTCGTGCAATAAATTTAGTATTGAACTTACACTCATTCAATATCCTCTATTTAAAAGATCCAAGGGTATCGCATTACCCATTTTTCGTTGTTAGTTGTCTTATGTCACGAAAACACAATATTGACCAAATGGATACTTATCCTGTTAAATTCTATCTGAGCACGGATCCATGACAAAACCTTTGTGAATCGACAGGTAGTTACTGAATGATTTCATGTAATCAGATAGAACCTAACAACGATCTATGCTTCTTATTAACAATATACTATTTATGGCTCTATTTCATTTCGTTTAACGTATGTTTACACTATACACTGTTGAAGGATATACATTTTTACACGTTGTTTAGTCAGTTTTTAACAGGAAGTTAGTATTCATAATGAAGTGTTTACGGTATTCCAGTATCATTGTAATAATTTTACAAAACTTAGGTATGATTTCTTTACTTATTATTTCTTATTTGATTTACAATGATATACACAGTAATTGATTAACATGTTATAATCATGGTATTTCACTTAAAATATGTAAATTGATACCCGGGTTGATATTTTAATTGTCCCTGAAGTACAGACCTGTTTTGATTTAATGAATTGAAGATACGTACACTCGATTGTTTAAAATGTTAAGATAAAAATATGCGAGTAAATATTGAAATGATTATTTAGGATTTAGGCAATGTACTAGTATGTCAATGTTTCTTTTAAATGACAGGTATATTTTTAGCAATTACATATCTAATTTTTTTGACTTTATAGGACTATCTAGCACCTCGTCAAATATAGGTTTGACAGCTGTCTGTTCGCCAAATATAATTAAGTATTGTACTCAAGAATGTCTAAAAACCTTATTATATCAGACAATTATTTTCTATTGCTTCATTGGTGACTTTATTTGAAACAATTGTATTCCAAACAGATCTATGGTATAACATAATAAAATGACCACCCATTGATATCTAAAACGATTCCTTTATTTGGCAAGTTTTACTAAATACATAAAGTCCTGTACTTTTTATACCAAATTATTCCTTATGTATTACACAATGTGTCGCTGGATTTTGAAACCTTATGTTGGTCAAACTGAGACTGAGGGCTTAAATACCATTTTCTCATATTATATATTCATTAGGACACAACCTATCGATCTTTAATCAATAATCATAGTGTTTTCAATGACAATATGGCATAAGGACGACAAGAATTCGTTTTCAATACACGAACATATATTAATAAAACTGTTACAGAATATATCCATAAACCGAGGAACTTAATTACTTTTTCCCCGTTTGAATTTGAATATCGGTAAAAAACTATGGTCGGACAGCTGAATACACTTGTAGATATGTCATTTCTTAGACTGAAACCCATTAAACTAACAGTTTAAAAAGTAAATCAACGTAGATGATATCCAAATTATAGGAAACATGAATTGAATCCGCAGAATTTAAATCAAGTATTTTGTCACTATTTTATTAGTACACTTTTGTGATTAAAAGAACTCTCTCAACTGAGGTCCAGAAGCCTAAAAACATAAAATTCTAATGACTGGAACACTTGAAACAGAAATATATAGACCTTTTTACAATACGATTTTGCGTAGGGCAAAAGCGCAATAAAATTCACAACAGTATATGATACTTTAAGGCTTTAATAGTCGTGATTTCATGTTATATCAACCAGAAAACAGTAATTTTGGGATGACTTAAAGCGGTAGAAACTTAAAAACGTTAATTGATATTTATAACAGATATATATATTGGACTAATAATCCAATGGTCAAAAGGCGCATACAAAAGTCGTCTGTTTAAGGTATCACTAGACGACTTTTTCATCCGTAATTTAAATTTATATATATAAACAGCAGGGTGGTAAAGATTAAATTTTATTACCCCTGTATTACACAATATTACACAATGTTTATTGTACACTTGACTTCCTTTGGATTGGCCAGGCGGTTAGTGTCAAACAGATGGAGTCAACACGCGACCGTGGTTATTTGTTTCCAGCTAGTTTATACAATATCATTCAACCGGGACGTTTTAGAACCATGACATAGTTAATCACGTACAATTATGAAAATCGTTTTACATATACCGATCTCATCAATGTTTATTGATGTGTGAAGTGACAATTAGAGTTACTTGCATTAAAAACATATTAACATGTGTTACGAGAAACCGGATAAAATGTGTGTTATTTCACTTTCCTTAAAGATTTTGAAAAATATATTTAACTATGGTGAAGCGTGACAGTACGATGGTGAAGCACGACAGCACGATGGTGAAAAGCAACAGTACGATGTTGACAATACGATGGTGAAGCGCGATATTACGATGGTGAAGCGCGACAGCACGATGGTGAAGCGTGACAGTACGATGGTAAAGCGCGATAGTACGATGGTGAAGCGCGACATCACGATGGTGTAGCGCGACAGTACGATGGTGACAGTACGATGGTGAAGCGCAACAGTACGCTTCGCGTTTTACATTCTCAGGGAGAACGCGCTGGCCCTAACGGAACACTGTATAAAATATATTTATGTGATTTAAAAATTATCTGTTTTAAATCACAGTCAAATGAAGGATGAAATCAGGTAAACTGAACACTAAAAATGCGTTATCACCGGGCCTGTTCTGACTATTTTCAGAATGATAATTAACCTCGATTTCATGTTATAAAATAACAATTTAGTTGACTCCTATTTGAATAATAGATATAATTCCACATTTTTATGCCCCGCCATATAATGGCTGGGGCATATGGTGTTACCCTGTTTCGTCATTCCGTCCTTCCGTCATTCTGTCATTCTGTCATTCCGTCATCATCAGTTTCCGTTCATTTTCTTAGTAACGGTTGCACACATTTAACTCAAATTCAGCATATTGATTTGTCATGAGAACCTACAGGTCAAGTTCAAATTTGGTCATAGTTCCATGGTTTTTGGCAGAGTTATGCCCCTTTTACTTTGAAAAGAATATGAAATTTTCTGTTTCCGTTCATTATCTCCCCAAATGTATTACACATACAACTCAAACTTGACATATGGATATGTCATGAGAAAACACAGGTCAAGTTCAAACTTGGTCATGGTTCGATGATTTTTGGCAGAGTAATGCCCCTTTTACTTTGAAAATAATATGAAATTTTCTGTTTCCGTTCATTATCTCCCCATCTATACATTCAACTCAAACTTGACATATGGATAAGTCGTGAGCAAATAATGGCAAGTTCAAATTTGGTCATGGTTTGATCATTTTTATGCCCCTGCCATATAATGGCTGGGACATATAGTGTTGCCCTGTTTCGTCATTCCGTCCTTCCGCCCTTCCGTCATTCTGTCTTTCCGTCATCATCAGTTTCCGTTCATTACCTTAGTAACGGTTGCACACATTTAACTCAAATTCAGCATATTGATTTGTCATGAGAACATACAGGTCAAGTTCAAATTTGGTCATGGTTCCATGATTTTTGGCAGAGTAATGCCCCTTTTACTTTGAAAAGAATATGAAATTTTCAGTTTCCGTTCATTTTCTCCCCAAAGGTAAAACACATCCATTTAAAACTTGACATATGGATATGTCTTGAGAAAATACAGGTCAAGTTCAAATTTGGTCATAGTTCAATGTATGTCCCTTTTACTTTGAAAATAATATGAATTTTTCTGTTTCTGTTCATTATCTCCCTAACGGTATTACACATTCAACTCAAACTTGACATATGGATATGTCATGAGAAAATACTGGTCAAGTTCAAATTTGGTCATGGTTTGATGATTTTTGGCAGAGTTATGCCCCTTTTACTTTTAAAATAATATGAAATTTTCTGTTTCCGTTCATTATCTCCCCATCGGTATTACACTTTCAACTCAAACTTGACAAATACATATGTCATGAGAAATCGGGTCAAGTTCGAATTTGGTCATGGTTCTATGATTTTTGGCAGAGTTATGCCCCTTTCACTTTGAAAATAATATGAAATTTTCAGTTTCTGTTCATTATCTCTCCAACGGTATTACACATTCAACTCAAACTTGACATATTGATATGTCATGAGAAATCGGGTCAATTTCGAATTTGGTCATAGTTCTATAATTTTTGGCAGAGTTATGCCCCTTTCACTTTGAAAATAATAGGAAATTTTCAGTTTCTGTTCATTATCTCTCCAACGGTATTTCACATTCAACTCAAACTTGACATATTGATATGTCAAAGGAATGCGCAGGGCAAGTTCAAATTTAGTCATGGTTCCATGATTTTTGGCAGAGTTATGCCCCTTTTACTTTGAAAAGAATAGGAAATTTTCTGTTTCCGTCCATTATCTCCCCAACGGTATTACACATTCAACTTAAACTTGACATATGGATATGTCAAAACAATGCGCAGGTCAAGTTCGAATTTGGTCATGGTTCCATGATTTTTGGCAGAGTTATGCCCCTTTCACTATGAAAACAATATGAAATTTTCAGTTTCCGTTCATTATCTCCCCAACAGTATAACATATTCAACTCAAATTTAACATATGGATACGAATTTTCAGTTTCTGTTTATTATCTCCCCAACAGTGTTACATATTCAACTCAAAAATGGTTTGTGTAAACATTGAATAGTTTTAAGGGCTTTGAACTTAAAATAAAAAAAAAATTAATTTGTGCAAACAAATTTGGAACTAAATATTATAACATCTGAAATTTTGGTTGCATGCGGGGGCATCCGTGGCATGATGACACATTTCTAGTCTTTAAAAAATCTCAATGTCGGGTCCGTGACCGTAAGGGGAAATTTTTAAACAATTTCCCTTTCCATGCCTTTTTATGGCAATATTGGCAACAAAGCTATAAAGGAATCTTTTCTATTTTTGTTAAAAGCTATTTTATATAGTTTTCTACCTTTGACCTTAAACTAACTCGGAATTGTCTATGAACTTCTTCTATATTTCTATGTTAGGCTATGCTTTTTACCCCTACGCAGATTGCACATGTGCGGGGAAATACTACTTCCGGTCGATTTTTCAAAGCAACGGACCGCATCGTTAAAATGTCTATACGAAAGGTAAATATGAAATACTCGTATAACTATAAATATACATTGCAGTCCGATTTGTGTGAATAGCGTTGCAACACTTTTCAATTTTGGGTCATTTTTTCAATAAGTAAAATTGTTCTAGAAAAAACGGAACTAGCTTATGATCTGAAATTTTGAATATATGTTGTCGGTTTAGACCTCAATCAAATGAATTAATTATCTCGAAAAAAAATCAAGTCACACATTTCAAAAAAAATCTCAGTGGATTCCTTTTCCCTAATTATCGTCATCATAATAGCTTTTTTATTTGTATATTTGCAGTTACTGGCATAGATTTCTTTTTTTCTAAGGATAAAGTTTTACTAGGTAGTAAAAGAACATTAACTATGAGATGTGATGTCACTGAAACAGATGTTAACAATATTTACCTCATAGAGATACGAAGAATTAAATCAACCGCACTTTCTGGATCAGATCCTAATGATTGGCAAACATTAGCATTAATGGAATTAGGTAGATATGAAAGTCCTACATTAACAGAAGATATTACAGCTGTAGCAGCTAGTAAAGATTATGTTGCTGGAGGATCATGGGATTCTACAACACCTGCTAACACATATCTTACATTGTCTATGAGCATGGAGAAGATGGTTTGTGATGATGCCAGATATTATAGATGTGAATTGTCTTATAAAAGTTCCACAACAAGTTCAGTTACATTAGCTAATAGGAATTCAACTTTCTCAGCATATGGTAAGTTTTATGTGATTTTTAAAATGCCTGGAAAACCTTTTCATAATTAAAGACAGGTTGGAAACAATTTTATTGGGTTGATAAAACTTTAATAGGTAATTTCTAGTATATAAAAATATAAATTATTTCAATAGATTTCAAGAGATTGGTTACACAAGAAAATAGAATAACCATAAGATAATGTTACTATGTAATACAATACATCAATACAACTAACTTGGAAAAATCTGTTGGGAAGTGACTGAAATTTTTGTTTGTGATGATGCTAGAGCTTATAGATGTGAATCGTCGTATAAAAGTTCCACAACAGGAGATGTTGCTGAAACTGAAAAGAATGCAGTGTTCACAGCTTACGGTAAATTCATACATATCGTTTAGGGCTATTAATATGAATAAGGCAAAGCAGCGTTGAAATTAGCTCTTTGGAAGTTATAATGCATAGCTCTATAATAATATATAGTATGTATAAATAAAATCCCCGGCGTTTGTGTAATTTCAACTGAAATTTACTATACACTTCTACACGCTATCGGTCGCATGTTTCACACACTATTTGTCACTTTCGAAGTCTATGTTATATTTGATATTAAAATTTAATAATGCAGTCGGAGAACAAAACAATTCACTTGAAATCAAATTTCGGGTAAAGGGCCCTAATTGATGATTCCATTTCGGGAAAAAGATTTCGTGAAACAGGATCATATCGGGTGTTGATGTTGACACAACGTCTAATTTCATCTGTTCTGTTTTAATGAATAAGTTGCGTAAAAAAGATAATTATTTTGACTGTAATTTATCAAAATATTGTTCATTATACTGGAATCTGTCAAATTTTATGTATTTTACGATCGTATTTATGAAACAATTGTGAACGCGCTAAGAGTTCTAATCCAGGAAAAGTACTTTTGCGAAACTTCATATTAGGATGAAAAGGTGTTCCAAATGTCAATTTAGGCGGGAACCACAATGAGGCAGAGAACAAGATCGCACTGATTCTTTGAATGAGCTTTAAAACATATTAAGTAATTCTGATGACATCTTGACTTACTTGACCTTGATCGTCCAGGTCAAATTAATAAAGCTCTCTTCAGTGTGTCTATAGAAATTTGGACCGTATGCACAGTTTTAGAGGTAAACTTACCTTTGATATCAATTGACCTAGATTTTGACGAAGAAACCTACTTTTGAACGTTGATATCAGCTGACCTAGATAATTTGACGAAGTGACATACGTGCTACGACCTATTTTTTGCCCGTTGATGTACAGTTATAATATTTGGACCTTATGGACAGTTTAAGATGTAAAATTGAAGTTTGATATCAGCTGACCTAGAGCTTCACGAGGTTTCCTTCTTGTGAACTTTGATATCACCTGACCCAGATCATTTCACAAAGTGACATACGTTCTTGTCCTTTGATGTACAGCTATTGACTTAATATCATGTGCAAAGTTTTAGATGTAAAATTGAATTTTTATATCAGCTGACATAGATTTAGATGAAGTGACCTTCATATTGATGTACAGCTATAAAATTTAAAATTTTGCACAGTTTTAGATGTAAAATTAAACTTTGATATCAACTGGCCTAGATTTTGTCAAACTGACATTCTGTTTAGTCCTTTGATACACAGCTATGAGATTCGTACCATGTTCAAAGTTTCAGATGTTAATTTTAGTTTGATCTCAGCTGACCTAAATTTTGATTAGGTGACCTACTGTTATTATTATCTTTGATATACAGCTATATAAAATGGACCAAGTGCACAGTTTCACATGTAAAACTGAACATTGAAAATTATGGAAATTCATACTTGGGAAAAAAAGCAAGTGTGACTAGACATGCTAGACCTATCTATTAAAATTGAAAAAAAAGGAAAAAACTTATTTATTTATGTACTATATTTTTTTAAATAGTTGTTTATGTGTTTAATTTTAGAGAAATTAAATAACAGTCGAGTGTTGCCCCCACCAGGCGGTGGCTCTTGTTAAAGGTAAAGGCTATACATCTTTATTCACCTGACATTAAGATTTAAATGATCCTCATGCTGTATTTTGATTAATCTGAATAAGGGTCTTTTTATGTTTTCCTCGAATCCATTTTGGCTCTAGAATAATTTAATTTAGTTTAGTTTGACAACATGTAAGGCCTGATGAAAACCGGGTACTTGATGAATGAGGAACATAGGACTAAAACATTGCACATTTACATAAAACAACTGGAATATCGGATGAATCCATTAAATCGGTTTGGTGTTGTTTTAAAAGGATATCTTCATGTTGGAGTAAAGGCATGAAAGGTATGTTGTATTTTGGATATAAAATCTATCTAATGTTTCTTTTTTCTATCAATTTGTTCACTTCATCGGTTGAAGATTCATTCCGCACAAGGGCTTGGGATGTCGAGATCGCCATCGGTTTCGAAGCGAAATAGTAATTCTGTCGGTGGCTGTAGTTAAAACATCATCAGTGAAATTTTAATTCAGTTGATCAACAATATGTGCGTAAATGTAAACCATATGAAGAAAAACACTTCAAAATATCGTTTAAATCACATGTGGCAGTATCAGTGTTTGGACACCCCACCCCTATCTGCCCCTGGACCCCTACTACAACCATAAAAAATAATTCAACACTCTAAGGCTTACTATAAGGTACCAAATACAAAACCACCGATGAACTTATATATATAAAAAATTTTACACTATCAAAATTATAGTTATAGAAAGGTGAAAAGCCTACTATATGTCCATTTGCCAAACAATGTTGAACACGGGAAATCGTCGTTTCGGCGACTGAGGCGATTCCGAAGGCATTTTGCTGCATCATTCATTTACATCAATAAAAAGAACTTGAATTCCACAAACTACTTAATTCAAGTTTAACGAATATCAATATTCTATCGATTTTTTCTATTTCACGGTAATTTTTGACTTGTCGCTGCCATTTTGGATTCTGATACCTGTGTGTTATACACGATCTGATTGGACGTCAAATTTGGCTCGTCCAATCAGATTGCGTATTTCAACCCAGGTATCAGACTGCAAAATGGCTACGACAATTCAAAATATACCGTGAAACAGAAAAAATCGGAATGATAGTGATATTCGTTAGATTTGAATTAGATAAGCTGTGGAATTCTAGTTCTTTTTATTAATGTTAATGAATGATGCAGCGAAATCCTTCCGGAATGCGCCTCAGTCGCCGAAACGACGATTTCCCGTGTTCCACATTGTTTGGCAAATGGACATATAGTAGGCTTTTCACCTTTCTATAACTATAATTTTGATAGTGGAAATTTTTTTTTATATAATTTCATCGGTGGTTTCGTATTTGGTACATTATAGTAAGCCTTAGAGTGTTAAATTATTTTTTTTCAGGGTTGTAGTAGGGGATCAGGGGCAGATAGGGGTAGGGTGTCCATTCACTGATACTGCCACCTGTGGTTTAAATGAGGTATCAACATTTTACATAGGGATATATGTACGTCACTTTCGCTTTAAGAAACCACGTGCATAACAATTAACATCCGTTTCATCTGTGTGATTTCATACAAAGTAAGGGTTATACTAAGGCAATTAATGGTAAAACGCGAACATTATGAAAATAAACTTTCTTAATTAATTTTGTTCTATAAGATCAAATATCAAAGTTTGTACATGAATATATTGACCATTGACCTTTAACATAGATTCTCGAAGTATTTGCTCTTTTGTAAATTGAGTAAATTGTATTAACTATGTTAATTTTTCGCCATGACATCTTAAAAATATTAGAATTTGAAATGTAAATAAAATTTTTAAGCATTTGAAATGTTAGCATTGTTTTATTTGAAGTGTCTTAAGCAATGTTTAAATTTAACACACGTATTGTAACAAGTATCTGTAAAGGCATAACACAGACATCATCATTTGATATATCAATTTCGTGTCATCTTTCATAATGCAGCGCGTACACAAATTTGGAATATGTACGGCTTTATATATAGATCTAATCATCTTTTAATGTATAATAATAATATATTGATAATAAGTATGAGTTTATTTGATTCTCTAGTTCTCTAATGTTTTAAAATTAACATTTATGTTGGATGATAGATTTTGGTAAATATTCCAGTAAAACCACAAGTGACATCTTTAATAACAAGGAAGAATGGTTTTATAGTGGAAGGAATGTCACCAACAAACATGGCCACAACTGACGTAGGAGATGAGTTGGAACTGACATGTACTGCTAATATAGGAAGCTTTTCAACAACCATTATTCGCTGGCATAGAACTTCTGAAACTTCACCTAGCGATGAATTTATTGACTATCAACCGCCACAAGGTACCTTTGATGAGGGCACAGCAACCAGTGACAAACATTGTGGATATACTAGAGTTGCTTCAATCAGATACAACGTGACAACAGTCGATGCTTACAGGGATAACAATTTGGCATTCGAATGTTACGTTAGAGTTAGTGGAGATCCATATGGAAACTCTTACACATCTGAAAACAATCCGAGATTCTACACTAATGTCAGTAAGTGATCTATATTAGATCTAAATAGTATAGCTATTTATGTATATAAGTTTAAATGGAGTTGAATATCAAATTGAAATGTAAGTGTCATTATCTGATTCGTTACTACGTTGTACTCAAATAACAAATTTAAAAAGAAAAGGGTCATTATTTGTACTACATATATTATTCTTTATTCTTTTCAGTTGATATAATTTAGATATTAAAGACAGTTTAAAATTGGTAACCATGATTTAGTTGAACAGTCCCAATAATGTCAAAAACCTTGTGGGACGTAGAAACATTTTCCCAAAAATAAATGGATTGTTTCTTACCCGAATTTAAGATTTTTGGATGTAAAACTCTTTGTTGATTCAGGGCGCTATTTTGGACCGACGGACAATATTTTTCGAAACAAATTTTTTTTTAAAAAAATAAATAGATTTACATAGACATTGATTGGTAGTACTTTTGTCAACTAACAAATGATATTTCAATGAAAAATAATACCTCTAGAAAACACTTTTCAACACTTTTCAATGTAAACATAGTTTTAATGATGCAGGATCATAATGCCGCTCTTGTTAAAATCTTTGATGATCACTCGAAAAGCAGTACACACAAACCTATTTGTTGAAAATTTTTAGACCTTTTTTCTGCATGTTAATTGTGTTTTTACGCTTCGTTTGTTTTCATTACAGCTAAACAAGACAATGGAAACACAAGTTCTAAAATTGGTAAAATTTTAGTTCATATATTATGTTTCTGTGTGTTTGAATGTGTACAAAAGTCGGGTTGACAGTCGAGGATGTATTGGTATCAACCGATGTTAAATACAAAGTTATGTCTTTCTTTTGTTTTAGAGATATAAAATAAGATGTTGTGAAACAAAATTAATACTAGACTTACAGGAAATTAAATGTAGTACTGATTTTGAATTACTATTTCTTTTCACTATTTAACTTTATGTATAGTAAATGAATTATTCTATGAATATTTATCGGGATTTTCAAGCTATTGTCACCAATAACGTCTTTAAGTAATGATTTCAAATATTTAATACAACTTGTTAAGCAAGTATTAGCAACCTTTAACAGCGTTTGATTCTAGAAGCAATGATATCAACAAAAAATTTGGCTCAAACGTCTGGCTTTGAAAGGTGAAATAAGGTTGCATAGAAAATATGTTTACGTTCATATTTAAGATGAGAATCCTTTCATTGCAGGTACTGGCGTTTCATCGGCTGCTTTAGTGGGGGCTGTGGTTTCCGCATTAGTTGTTGGGATTCTTTTAGGAGTGGTTTTAACACACTTTTATCAACGTTTTAAAAGAACAGGTAGTCCGTTAGATTTATTGTGATATATGACTGACATTTCACTTGTTTTAAAAAGCGAAACAAAATTGTTGATATTTTGTAGCAAATAATTGATTTTGTTTGAGCAAGGATTCATATTTTCGAAACTAAATGAATTATGTATAAATCGTTTTAATATATGACGAATGCCATTTATAAAAAGTAGCATAATGTAAGACCTGTTTCATTCGTCAAAATGACAGTTCAAATTGCTCTTCAAAAGTCGCTTGTCTTCAAAACTTTATACTGTGAATACAACTACATTCATCAGGTGTATAAAAGTTTATTTTTTATGTATGTAAATAAAATATAGGAGACAGGACGAATTATCAGCCTCAACAAATTGAGTTTCAAGAAACAGAGATAAGTGATGTGGCCCTGCCAGCGTAAGTTATTCTTTATAATTAAGATTTCAAGACTTTTCTCAACCCCTGTACATTTTGTATTTGACAAAGTTAAAGTTAGCTTTTATATCGACAGTTGCGGTATATTAATTGTAAACATATTCAAACGACTATTTTGGTTTCGTATGAATGTACAAGGTAAAGGATGATTTTTTTATAAACATAAATGCATAAATAATAATGATTCGTTTGTTTCTGAGTAAATTTAAAAAAATATATATATCAAAGTGAGAACTAAAGTGACAGCTCCAAAGTAAAATTATGTCTACAATTATGTAATAATTACGATATTCATTCAAAGTTACATTTAAGCGCTGTCAATCAAAAGCAATCTACATTTAGTGCGTATAATGCCAGGAACTATGATTTTTATATATTCAATTTGATATAATGACTATAACACTGCTTGCTCTTTTTTATTAAATGCTTATAGGAATGCGTATGAACAACTTCAAAACAGAACGAATACGGAGGGAAGAATGACCTACGACTCGCTAAATGGCATTGCTTTTCTATTTACACTGAATATAGCAGGCAAGGCATATATTAAGGAAACTTTTTTATGGCATAAAAACTACAACTGTCATGTTTAAAAAAATCCATGACTATTACAATAGACAACTTGATAGTGTAAATAGGTTTACTTTGAAAGAAGCCTAATTGAAACATGCTCCTTAAATATTTACATTAAAAACAACTTTTATCTGAATACAAAAGCAATTTTGATATAAATATGAAGAATATACATGTCTGTATAATTATTAAAAATATAGCAATGTTGCTTGTATTTCTACGAAAGGCCCTCGTACCTACTTGCAAAGCATTTGAACAGAAACAATGGATTGATTGACCATAATGTAAGACAAAAAAGTAAGTTATTTCTCTATTTACATGCTAATATAAAATTGATAAAAGTATGCTGAGACTACACTGAGATCAGGAGTAATTTTCGTCACATTTTTGTTAATTGACCGCAAACATATTGTTTAATATTGATGTATGTGATATATTGTTTCAGTGAGTTCCAGTGAATCACCAATAAGGTAATTAGAAAGCCTGCAAATTATAAATTTATTCCGAATTTAGAGGAACATAGTGTTTAAAGAGCCTTTCAAATATGATGTACTCGAAAGGTAAAAGCCAAAATAAAAATTTAGGACTGCACCATACTGCTTATAAAATGTGAATGCGTCATTTAAGATTAAAGGTTTAAATACACACAAATTGATTATCTAGATTCATTTTATTCAGAAAAAAGTATCTTATAAATTAATTTAAAAGAAATAGGGAAAATCCAATTTGAAGGTGAATTAAAGGCTGATGTCCTATGAGTAAAAGAATGATGCCAACAAGGTTACTAAAAAACTTGCACCGGCATCTTAAGGTATAACGTATTATTAAGTGCACTTTAATGTAATTTAATTCAATATAATTACATTATGTAAATCAATAAATTCACTTGTATGCCTGTCTTTCAGCCCAATAAAATATGAAGATATGGATCATGGATCAGAAATACCCAACACTTATGCCGATGTAAACTAATAAAATGGATACATTTTGAGATGACTCCTGCTGACTTAAAGCATAATGAAAGTTAGCATCATGAACACATTATTTAATGACATTATCTAGATGTATGACAATGAGATTTATAGATTCAACTACTATGAGTTATGTCATTCTTATGCCTATTCTATATGGTCATTGATTTCTGCCATTTTGTGCCTTCGCCTTCGACTTTTTAGATGCAAAAACACGAAGACTCGAAAAATTGGCCAATTATCGTGTCTTCGACTTTCGCATTTTGAGGCGAAGACACGAAACACGACAAATATAGGGCGCCGATACAAAGATTTCTACCCACCTACACGATTTTTATTTCGCTTAAAATATATCTTGTTTTTGTGTCGGCGCACTCAAAAATCGATGGCTAAGACATAATTAGTTAACATATTTTCCTGTTTTCGTGTCTTCGCCTTCGAGCTTTGAGGGACGACGACACGAAGACACGAAATAGAAGAAATCAGCCTCCATAATTTTTAGGACATTAGTAATCTCGAATGCAAATGGTTATAGGGTTTTTGGCTCATTCTAATTTTTTGAAGATATAACAGAATTATGATATCGTTTTATATTTGGCTTTTAAAATAGGTTCCTGCATGTTTTGTCAAACAATCTTATTGCTCTTTAGTTGCTATGCTGTAACAAATATAAAAAATTAAAAAAATCTGAAAAACTTTACATGTTCTTAGTCTATTTACTCATATTTTACATTAAAGGAGGGTCTGAATTTGTTTGCACTTTCATAAACATACTCAATATATTTAATTCTTTTATCTTTTTATTTATGCTCACAGCAGCAGGTGTTGGTACAGGTGCTGACCCTCTTTGACGGTAATTCCAATACTTTTACTGAGTATGCCTTTATCTCTACCTTCATGGTAAAAGTCTAGATGAGCAACGTATAACTATGAATATGGTAATCGGCTTTACATAGGGAAATTGCAATTATAAGGAACTATTAGTTTTCCAGATCAATGGCAGGAAATTTTGGGTGAATATACCTATCAAAACATATAAATACCAATGTTCTATCATGCAAAACATTCTATTACATTCACAGAACATTTGAGGCAAAGAACGGATCACAACTTGTAAATCTGGTTACTTTGAAATCTCTCATATGCTTTTCAAAAAGTTGTAACGCAAATAGATTCCTCTGACATTGGCCTGAAATAATGAACACATATTTTTTTGTTCGTATTAAACCACATAAGTAGCATTTATTCCGTTTAAATGATTTTCAGTCATATGAATTTGACAACGACAACGCAATCATAGTATTTCGTGTAAAACATTTTACTGCCTTGATCGTTAAAGTTTATCGGCCGTGGAAGTTTGTAAACTTACCTGTATCGGTATAGAGTTCTGTAACAGACAAGGTTTATATATGAGTTTTATGAAAGAAATATAGTATTGGAATTTCATTTGTAATTACAAGGCGTGTTTCTTAGCCCTACTTCTTCAACTTTTATATAAGGTTATGCATTTCAGCATCAAAATGTATGTTTCTGTTAACTTAATGATTTGATGAGTCATATATTAATATAGAACTGTGTGGTGGTTAAACAGCTGGCACATAAAATATGTATAGTATGCAGTCAAATTTAGATCGATAACTTCAGATATGTAATCATGTAATTTGTTTATTTTCATTATTTTTAAAATGTATTTTAAGACGTTCAGTCCCTACCATTATA